AGACTCTTAATTTCTCTAAGGATCACTCATTTTTCAGCTTCCATTCATGTCTGCAGCTTTGCAAATCAGATCCCTTTTCAAGTATATGCTGAGATAACTGGCTTGGGTACAAAACATGTGTTTTTGGACATAACATAACATTCTTATTTCTCATTCCTAAGCAGATTTCAGAAAGCTTAAGGTCTATGTAGAGTGTTTTCACCAAATGTACAAATGACTTGAAAAACCAACAGAGCTCTAAACTTGAGTTTTCAAAAGTGACTTTTAAAGTGACTTCAATGAGGAAGAGGTGGAGGCAGCAGGGCACATATGGGTTAGCAATGATAACTTAAGTGTTTGACCCCTCTTCCCAGCCTCTCACATGCTACCTCCCCTCTGCAGTCTCCCTGGAGACCGACTTGTCCTCATGCAGATTTATAAAACCATTATGGAGGGTCTATTACCATGTCATTGGTTGCCTTTATCAGCTAATCACAAAGCACACAGCTGGGAGAAGACGTAATGCATCTAACATCTAGGTTAATACATCAAAACTGGTCAGTTTTATTTACTTATTACTAATTTGGCAACCCATATGTGAACTCCTGCCAAAGAAAGTGTGTCTTCTTTCTCTCCATCTGCTTCTGTGATGTAAAACCAAGCAAAGCTCTTTAAGGGAAAACTGAAATGGAAAAGAGCGATTGGCATTCATGGAGTTTGGACGTTAAGAAGCGTATCTGACTGAGAGAGTCTTGTGTTGGCTAGTACAGATCCGCTAGCCCCCCTAAACATGGCCCACACCTGCCAGCTGCACTTTAAATCCTCCAGCCTTTAGGTTCAATTACAGCAGAGCTGGATGGAGTCACAGTGGGGTGCCTACGCCTCAGCATCCCCACCCCCACCTGCCGGGAATTAGGCTCGGAATGCTTGGAATGCTCGGAAGCAGATGGCATCCAGTGGCTATCACGTTAACATGCATGTTACCCCTTAATATTCATAATTTAGCATTTAATGGGGACTTTCTTTGATTTCAAGGCCTTTTTTTGTCCCTGTGTTTTTGGCCCTGCCTACAGTGTTTTAGCTTGGCAAAGCTGTGGTGTTTTCTTATAATATGTAATTGACAAGCTTTTTAAACAATAATATTGATAGTTTTTGTTTTTAATGGATAAGGCCACCTTAATTTTAGATGCATGCAGCCTCTCGGTTTTGCAAATATAGCTGTATACCTCATATTTCAGTTTTTCTTTTTTAATAAATCTGCAAAAATGTCAACAATTCTGTGTTTTTCTGTCAATATGGGGTGCTGTGTGTACATTAATGAGGAAAAAAAATTAACTTAAATGATTTTAGCAAATGGCTGCAATATAACAAAGAGTGAAAAATTTAAGGGGGTCTGAATACTTTCCGTACCCACTGTATCAATATAGAATTACATATAAACACACTACCATTCAAAAGTTCTTTTAAGAAATCAATATTTTAATTCCGCAAGAATGCATTAAATTGATCAAAAGTAAGAGTGAAGACATTCATTATGTAACAAACGATTTCCATTTCAAATCAATTCTGTGCTTTTGAACTTTCTATTCATGTAATAATCCTGAAAATTGTATTATGGTTTGCACAAAAACATAAAGCAGCACAAACTGTTTTCAACACTGATAATTATAAGAAATGTTTGAGTAGCAAATCAGCATATTAGAATGATTTCTGAAGGATCATGTGACTGAAGTAATGGCTGCTGAAAATTCACCCGTTGCCATCAAAGGAATAAATTACATTTTAAAACACATTAAAACAGTTATTTTATTTCACAATGTGTTTTTGGTCAAATAAATGCAGCCTTGGTGAGAATAAGAGACTTGTTTAAAAAACATACTCACAGACCCCAAACTTTTGAAAGGTATTGTAAATACATATAATATATACATACATAAAAAAATGCATCCCAGTCAATATAACCCTGCCCAACATGAAACAGCATAGCGACACTATATACACTCTGCAGCAGGGGATGTCCTTTTCATCTTTTATGTTTGCAGCTGTGCATTGTGGACATGCCGCCTCAAACTCTTCACAGTCCTACTGAGGGCGTACCAACTGTAATCACATATGACATGCAGTGATGCCTTGCTCAAAACAACCAAAAAAGCTCTGAAGTAAACACAGTTACAAAGCAAATTCTGTCTCTTCAGTGTGTACAGACATACACTATATATATATATATATATATATATATATATATATATATATATATATATACACACACATATAGAGTGTGCACAGAATCTGAAAGGTTACTTGGTATCTGATATCTGAAATATCTGAAAGGTAACTTAATAAACTTGGTAACCATGTATAAATGCATATTTGTCATTTCAACTTGTGGTTGAAATGAGTATAACAAATACTGGTGGTGTTTAACATATTGTTGCTCATTCAGTGTTTCTGTAAAAAAAGGAGAAAAAAAACAATAATACTGATAAAATAATAATAATAATAATACAGATTATATTACTAATGACAAAATAAAACGCACTAAGGATTAATGAGCTGCTGGGTTCATGAATATTAATCACATTGTTGTTCGCTCCAACTGATATGCTGAAATCACAACAGTGACAATAATAGGTGAGCGCCAGCCAAAGATGCTTGCACATAAGTTCTGTGCCTTCACACTAGAGTTTACGTATGTCAAATACAGCTATGCTGCGCATCAATTGAGATGAAATGAAAACTAGTACAGATCGCTTGACGGAGAGTGAAACTCTTTAGTGTTTGACGAGTAAAAATATATCTGTGCTAAACTTATTCTTAGCCTCCAACTCCCACAGTGGCGAGTAAAATATAAGAATTTATTAGCCAGTGGCTAATGTTAGACATCATTTAGTCCCCGAGAGTGAAGAATTTGTTGCATATGCAAGCGATTTACTCACATTGTAGAGGGTTGGAAGGTCTTATTCAGAACAAGTGAAAATATAGATGGCATGTAAATACTGAAATGAAAAGGGCCAAAAACAGAGCCCTGTGGGACTCTCATGAGGGTTATTTATTAGGTCGCAGGGTCTCAAAATGACAATATTTCTTCCACCCAAATAACATAGAATGAGGTGAGTGACTTATTTCAGCCACTTTCTCATATAAATCCAGCCTAAGACATTACCATAATAATTCTACATTCACCTTTGTCAAGCAATTCTTGGAGGCAGTTTTGCATAAGTAAGGCAGATTAAGCCGGAACAGACTTCAGATATGTGAATGAGTTCCCTCACTAAATTCCAAAGAGATTCACGGTGGTCGAGAGGCAGCCTTGAGCTTTCTATTTACAATTCATGACTGCTGTGCCAAATCCCTGACAACATCATCAAGACGTGTCAGCTACCCACGTCCCATCAAGCATGTACCCTAGCTTTTTGGATGAGAACAGAAGGGGATAATTCCCCTGCCCCCATAAGATCTCTGCATGAAGATCCTTCAAAATGTATTTTGTGTTCCAAAGAAACAATAAATATTCTTTATTTGCTGAATTTTCACATTTATATTTTTAGGAAACAAAAGGATACATTGTCTCAAAAACTTAAAAGATGAGTAAACAAACAAAGAGCACCACACAGACATGAAATTAAATGCTACATGTACAGATGAAAAGAGAAGAAAAAAACAGTGGGACACACTCTGTCTCGAATACTGTCTCTGCTGGAAAGACCATGGCTGAATGCTCAGTGTCCATGTCTTTACCAGAATACAAAGGTCAATTGTGCTTTCTGCCAGTCCTCTATATTATACTTTGTCAAACAATTCCAATATAATCTGTGTTCCTGTCTATTTTTTTTTCAGAGACTACTGTAAATAACCAAAGTATTTTGATTACTTATAGTGAAGTATTTCATTTACTAAGATAAATGGAAATATCAATGAATGATGTGAAGCTGCAACATATTCACATGAACACATTCATAGAATGAACTGTAGATTGGGTTAACCACTTAAAAGAAATGAGAATGACTTGTTTTAGTGTCCTAATAACCACAGAGCTGACTAAAGACATGCCCCATCTGTATTTCCCATCTGGACTGGTTAAAGCATGTTCAGAATTAAAGAGGGTTCAGGTGGTCATTACCAGCTCCTGATGTATAATTCTGTACTATCTATATGACAACAGCTCAGATCATTATTTGAGAGTCCCTTGAGGGTAGCATCACTAAATCGTATTAAAGGTAATAAAATACTCAAGTGTGGCCTCATTTTTTCCAGGACAATTCTCTATTGGCGCATCCCAGGGAAAAGGAGAAATACAGTGAGTATAGGAAGCTACCTCTAAAAAACAGATGAAATTGACTTAACTTGTTTATACTTAGGGCTGATAAATAGGACTGATAAATATTAACTTCTAGAATAGAAAAACAATATATATCTGCTGATATATAATCAACATATCTGTACATTTCAAAAACGTATGAAAAGCATCTCTCGAGATTACATTAAAAAGAAAAGAAAAGAAAAAAATCCCAGATTCATTGCATAAGCAGGTCATAAAAAGATCGTTTTTTAAAAAAAATAATGGAAAGACTTTTTTTGGCATTTTTTGTTTGAGGCAAATTTGTTCCCTATGAGGAAAGGGACTGTCATGTGAAATTCAGTCTTCAACTTTTACAGTTTAATTGGACTGACATTTTGAATATTGCTAATCGCTAGTTTCTATGCAAACATACATCTATAATATTAAAAATGCAGTTAGCCAAAGACCCTTCATAGACTGAAAGTTTGTAGAGTCTTCAACACAGCGATAAAAAGTGATAGGTGTTCAAATTAAAGATGTAGTAATGATACTATGCCAGAGTGAAAGTAATAGGTCTGTGCTGATTTCCAATTTTTTCCAGACAATGCCAGAGCATAAATAACAACATTTAGATTAATGATCCTGTTTGAAACCATAGGGGCCATTTCAACCCCCTGTGAGATTTGGCTAATATCTTTATTTAAATAATTGTATTTAATAACTTTTTAGATCTATCACTTACTTGTTTGCCCTCCAGAGTATAAAGTCTTTTCACAGCGCCAGAATCCAGTTTAATGGCGTCAGTGATGTCTGTGAGCACTTGCTCAAAAGAGTGCGCAGTCTTCTTATTCAAGAGGATCCGGACAGCTTTACGGGGTTTGACACCACCCCTGATGACCGTCACCAACTTGGGTTTGATGAAATCTTTGCTCTCTCGTTCTCGTAGCTCGTTCTTCGAGGTGATAAGTGATGGCAACGAGCGGGATGTGCCCGACTTCACATTGACTGACCAGTTGGGATTGATGTTCTTGGTGTAGTCCACTTTACGGTAGGGTTCACTGGAAGCACACACATAGCTTTCACCTGCCAAGGGCGACAAGGAGAATAAGATGAATGGAATTGTTTTGTTCAAAGTGCTTCAAATGCAAATATAGGTCTTCAGTTATGAATAAAGTACCACTTTTATGAAAACCTATATCACATGCACATCCAAATGCATTTTTGACATCATGTTTGGAGGTAAGAGGTGATTTTAGACATTTATGAAGTAGACATTTAAATACTGTGAAGAATACGGCCTATTTTATATATTAACTAAAAGTTCTAAAAATATAACCTTAGTATTACAGCCTTCATCTGTCAGCTGAAATGTCTGATATATACATATATATATATATATATATATAAATAAAAAAAATTTTGGCCCCTGAGCAATTTATATAAATTTATGAAACTAAGCATGTTTCCTAAGAATGACTTGTTCTCCATATGTAAAAAAGTTTTGAAGAGTTTGGATAATGCACTTTAAAGATATAAGAAAATTACTGTTATCTTTTTTCTGTTATTTAATAAATCATCATGGCAACACCATTCAAGATATCCAAAATCCGTTTTCAATTTAACATCTTCAGTATCTGTGCATCATGTTGACAAAGCTTGGTGTGAATTGCCTGATTCTCCTAGGAGGAGTATGCATTAATTCACAGCATGGTTTTTCCATGAATCCATATCCAAACTAAAAATAACTGACTTCCTGTTGGTCGTAGCTAATGACTGTAAATTAGAAAGTTGTCCAGCATGATGAGTACAATATATGTACTATGAGTTTGGTGACTGTAGGAAAAACTAACCCTACCCAGTTTTGTCAAAAGATGGCGCTATAGAGTGCCTGCTCCAAGTCCATCAATGAGCTTTTGCCAGTGTCTAACTCTCATTAATACTGATGTGTGTGTGTGTCGAGTTTCATGAAATTCTAAGCATGTTAAGTGCCTTAAAAACACCTCAAAAGAATATTCAAGTTTGACACATTGCCATGGCAACATTATATAAGATATCAAGAATCCCTTCACAGTTTTACATCTACCATGTTTTGACATTATTCAGGTAAAGTTTGAAGCAAATCAGGTAAAAATAAGAGGCTGATTTAAAAGCATTTTCTGTTGCCAGTTGGTGGTGCTATAACTTTGACTCATAATAGTCACATCTATGTGATCATATGGCATCATACAACAAACAAACTGCTGAAGTTTCATCAAAATCAGACAAAGTATGTGCAAGTTATAACACATTTCCTGCTTCCCTTTTTTTCGCTATAAATTCATCGCCACACCATGGCCAAACCATAAGATCATGTTGACCGTGTTTGGTGGTGATCAGATGAAAAACCTAGGAGGAGTATCACAAATTCCACAGCATATGTTTTTCACAAAACCCAGAATAGCTGACTTCCTTTTGGGAGGTGTGTGCTACAGAGTCCCTCGAAATTGGCCCTATAAAGCAGTGTGCCACGGGCCCTCCTGGTGATTCCCCCATGTGAATCTCTGCCTGGCCCTGATGGCCGCAAATTTCAATGAGTGGGCCAAGTTTCAAGAGTTTTTGAGCATGTTAAGGGACCCAAAAACCCCACAAAACTTAAAAAATAAATAAATAAATGAAATAATAATTTTTGCAAGTTAAACTCAAAATAAAACAGGTAGTTGTGAGATAAAGTTCAAAATAAAAGTAGTCAAACATATAAAGTTGCAGTTACGAGACATAAAGACACAATTGTGGAAATTTTTATAAAACCGCAATTATAATACAAAAAGTTGCAATTGTGAGAAAGTTGCAACAGGGAGAAATTACAAATTGTGAGAAATAAAGTCTTATTGTGAGATATAAAGTCATATTTCTAAAATATTAAGTTACAGTTCTATATATAGGCACAATTGTAAGATATGAAGTCACAATTTTGAGAGTTGTATTTTTGAGATATAAATTTGCTATTCTGAGATATTGGGCCTTATCATACACTCGGCGCAATGCGGCACAAGGCGCGGCGCAAGTGTTTTTGCTAGTTTCAGCCCAACGCAGTTCTCATTTTCCTGTCCTGCGCTGCGTTGTTTAAATAGCAAATGCATTTACACCCATTTGTGCGCCCATGGGCGTGCTGGTCTAAATAAGAGGTGTGTTCAGGTGCATTGTTGGCGCATTGCTATTTTGAGAAACTGAAAATAGACTGGGCCATAGACCAACTCAAACCTGGTCTAAAGTCTGGCGCAATATTTTTCTTTGTTATTTAAAGAGTGCGTTAGTAATATGCGCCTATAGGCGGGTGCACAACGCGCATACACTTTGCTTATTACACACACAGCAGCACACAAACATTTTTAAAAATGAAAAATTACATTCCGCCATGTAAATAGCAAAGACGTCATGGCGCGAGCTCAACTGGCTTTTAAAGGGGATGGGAGATGAGACTCTGATTGGTTTATTGCGCGTTACGCCCCAAAAACACTCATTACTCGTTAAGAGAATAGGGACAACCCGTTTAGACCATGCGCCTGGGCACGCCGACCGTTTTACTGTCGTTTGGGCACGCCCTGAGTGCACCTGCGCCATGCGCTTTAGACCATGCGCTTAGATCGTTGAAATAGGGCCCATAGTGATTGTGAAATATAAAGTTGCTCTCATTTATTTAGTAGTATAAATATAATAATAAAATGTATTTATTTTTTTTACACTGAGGAGGAAACATGCTTCCATATGAAACACCTCAGTGTCTCATAAAAAAGTAAATACAATAATATACTGCCATTAAATGTACATCTAATATAACCAGAGACTGCAAAGGGCTGGGTTGAATAAAAACACACTTAACCCATCTGTGACCCCAGATCTGCCTCTCTACACTTTTCAGCTCTGGTTTTGGACAAAGTCCAAGGCAAAGTATTTTCCTTTTTGCAGGAATTCCAATGTAACTGTTAGCAAGTATGCACTTCCATTCACATAGCTATACTTCACAAACCAAAAGACCTTATAAATGAATACCACAAGAATGAAACATTATTTACCAAGAAACATTGCCTAAATTCCTTCATTATGGAGTTCATTATGAAACGTTTACATGACTAAACTTCGGCTTGTCTGTTAGATATTGTGTTAATACTTAAAGCCCCTGAAAATGTGCATGACAGCATATAGGCCATGCTTTTTTATGTGTGATGATGGCACATCTTGGTACTAAAACAGAGACAGCTGGTCTGAAAATGGAGCTTTGTCATCCTAAGGAGTGCAGTGCTGTTGGGACAAAAGTGTTTGTTTCGTCGCGCCAGGACACAGCATCACAGTATGTAAAGGGCGTAACATTTCCGTTACACGCTTGAGGTATTCGGCCAATCACAATGCACTGGATAGCTGGCCAATCAGAGCACACTTCGCATTTCAGAACGATGAGCTTTGTAAAAATCGATGTGTTTCAGAAAGGCGGGGCATACAGGAGCAACAATAATGTACATTATGTGGAAAATAATGTGTTTTTTGAACCTTAAACCGCATAAACACATTGCATTACACCAAATACACAACATAATGTTATTTTTAGCAACATCATATGACCCCTTTAAGGTCGAGGGGTCAAGATGATATCAGGAGTTGAAAATGTGACCATTCAGCTGGATTTGGAGGCCGAATTCCACTTCACACACACACTGAGATGAGACATTCTCACGAACACATAAACACACTGAACTAGAGCAGTCTTGAGTAATGTAGAACATATGCACAGATATGTTTGAAGTGCTTCTCAAGTCCAGAGCTGCATTTCTGCAGCGCAATTTAAATCAAAATTTATATCCAAATAGCTCACCCCTTGATCTTTACAGATCCAATTCTGTTGCAAACAGTGAAATAAATACCTTAATGCCACTTACATTTGGAGTTTATAACCTCACATATAAACACAAGCTATGTGAGTCTAGATCAAGCATATGGATGAATGTTTCTGAATATATTTAAGTGTCAAACAGAAAAAAATAAAAATGAGCAAACAATGACCATGTCTGAACACAAATTATGGTAAGTGACATCACTCTTGGATGTGCATACTATGCACACCAAACTATTTAGTTTCATTACATAAACACTGTCTACTCAGAAAATAAACTGAAATATCATCTGAATCTGAACAGCAAAGTCTACATCCCCTGGTGAAACTAGTGGGCTTCAAACTAACATGAAAAATTATATATATGTTTCTCATCTTAGTAGCTAAGAGAGGCAACTGAGAACAGATGACTCACCTGGTGTGAATGAAACGTTTTTTTATTCACGAGAGTATGAAGAGATGTGTGATATAATCATGGTATGTGAGCTTTAATGCAATATTTCATGTTTAGTGTGCAATTCAAATTAAAACAATAAGCCAAATTTAAGACATAATAAAACCAAAATGTCTAAAACAAAACCCAAAACACCAAACAATGGAAATGTCATGCATGCAAATATTTTTTAAAGCATTTTCAGATAAATAACTAACAATTAATACTTAGAATATAGCCAACGTTTAGTTCCACCACTGACCCAGAACTACAACCATTCATCCACAACATAAATGTCATTGTTACCGCCACTGGATCATAAAAACTAAATTTCACTCCATTTGCCTCAGAAATAGGAGGGAAGGAGGGACTCCCAAGGCACTGGGCTTTATTAAGCTGAGAAATTAACAAAAGGCTAATTAATGAAGTAGACTCCAGATGGGGTCACTATTACTGATGAAAAACTGACCCAAAATCAGATGGCAGCTATTGTAATAATATGTGTGTTGGAAGACAGAAAAATAGTAATACTGATGTCATTCACATGGGACTCAGGTGTGGACTGGAACAACCACTGAGGTTATGAACCCTCCATCACCCTCTCATAACCAGTCTTGATGTCCAGATGGGACCCTGATGTACCCATCATTCAACAAAGTGTGGTGCGCCAGTACAGTAAGTAGTATCTGTAGCTACAAACACTCCAACATAGTTGCCTATTGCTGGTGATCTTTAGCAAGTAGCATTCATTAATGCTTTGATCATGTGTGTGTAAGACTTTACACAGATTTGTAACAAAAGAGAACTAAGCCAACCCTCAGTCAGCGTGAAGAGATGCTGAGCTTGGCACTTCACATGCAAAGCACTTGTACAATTGCATCATTGAGCAAACACAGAGCCACATTCTGCGTCACAATCTCACATGCTGGACCACAGCAGCTGCACTTGTGCTAGCACACTAATTTAGTAAAAATATATACTCATACAGCGTGAATTGTTTAGAATAACGTGATTTGCCACGTTAAATTCTTTAATTATGCAATGAATTCTGCTTTCACTATATTATTGAAATACCATAGCGCAATAACAACAAGGTCTGGATATTTGGGTTGGTTTTTATGACAGTCCAGTCTACATACTATAAGGGCTATATACATATACAAATATGTATTCTAAGAGAACATTATTAACATTTAGATACAAGTTATACAATCTTACTTATTCATTGTGACTGAATGCTGGCTTTGAATGACAAGTGACAGTCAAAGCAATATAGTTCACCCCCCAAAAATGGCAATTCTGTCATTTTTTACTCACTCTTATGTTGTTCTAAATGGCTTTCTCTTCTATGGAGCACAGAAGGTATTTTGAAAATATTTATGACTCAGTGTTTTTGTCCATACCCTGAAATACAGCTGGGTCCAGTGGGACCTGACCCCACTGACTTTCATTATATTGACCAAAACAGTTCAAACTAAATATTTTCTTTTTGTCTTCTGTTAATGGCTTGACAAGAGGGTGAACAAATGATGACAGAATTTCATTTTTGGATATCCCTTAAATATCCTGTTCCATGTCTATTTTCAAGTTGAGTCAGGGAAGGAATGGGCCATGACGGTGGCCTTAAATGACTTGAAACTTACTGTGTCTTAATATACTATTTCCTCAGCTGATTATGAATTAAATAAACATACAGTAATCTTGGTTAAAACAATGCTAGTTACTGCTATCCTACTTAGCATGCATGGGTTGCAATGTTTAAAGTTCACTCTGAAAATTAGACACAGATTTATTTACAAATACAGTGTATAAACACTTTTTATAACATTACTGGTGCATTTATTTATTTGTTTGTTTTTAAAGTATGTCTTTGCAATATGTAGAACAATCATGCCAATAAAGTACACTCTTAAAAATGCTGGGTTAAAAAGGGACAAACCCAGCTATTGGGTTGTTATTGGGTTATAACCCAACCGCTGGGTCAAAACAACCCAATAGCTGGGTTTGTCCCTTTTTAACCCAGCGCTGGGTTATATTTAACCCAGCATTTTTTAGAGAGTACAGAAAATTGCCGTGTGAATTTAAAATCCAGTGTTTATGTGTGTCAGAGACTTGGAAAAGTTATACTCTAAAAAATGCTGGGTTGTTTCAACCCAACTTTGGATCAAATATGGTCTAACCCAACTTTTGGGTTAACATTTTCATTAAAAAATTTAACCCAACAGCTGGGTTTGTCCAAGTTTGACCCAAAGTTGGGTTGAAACAACCCAGCATTTTCTGACTTGCCATGTTGCAACATTGCAAACAATGCATCCTTACAATGACTTGAGTATGATAATACCAGTGATGCTTTACTGGATGTATTGTCACATGGGGAAAAGAATTTGAAGTGCCTGTTGTGTCTATCCAGACATTTAGACCTTTGCAGTCTCACCTTCTAGTAACTCATCCAGGCTGGTGATCTTCTTCCCTCCTTCCATAGCATAGATGTTCCGGACTCCTTGCGGTAAATTCACATTGTCCGAGAGGGAGCGGGTGAGCTCCATCAGCAGCGCGTCGAAAGATCTGAAGCGGTCACCGGACACCGCGTACACCAAGCCATTGAAGTACTTATCACCGTTCCGATAGAAGCGAACTTTTTTCGCTTTCTTCTCGGAGGTGAGCGACTGCAGTGTGCGTGTGCGGTAGAAACTACAGTGCGCACTGTGAGCGGGACTGGGCACGAGTCCGTTACCCCGCGAGCCGGAATGAGAACCGCCACTGCCCCGCGGGGACCGGTGACTCTTCTCGCGCTCCTCGAAATGCTCCCACTCGATGCTTCTGCTGGACATGTTTATTTCCTTTTAGTCAATGCGCGGATCCTTGAATAAATTAGCTTTGTTATGTTGTTTCTGCTGGTTTTCGTGTTATTGCTTCCTTCTTAGGACTTTCAACAAATTATGCATTTAAGAAATCAGTCAAACAACAGTCCAAAAGCTGTTCTCTTCAACTTTTATACAGCTAAACAAAGAAGTTGTTAAAATATATATATTAGTCCCAGTAGTCCACAAATCCAAGAACTGTACAATTCAAGGACAGACGCTAGTTGAGGTGAGCCCCGGTCATGATGAGATGAGATGCGCAGAGCTGTATGTGCGCATGCTGGACACGCGTGACCGTCCGCTGTTTTCTTCATCCCTCCACTGGCACTCAATCAGGCCAACACTTACCACACACCTTCATGAAAGAGAGGACGAGAGCTGCTCCTCCTCAGGGTCCTAAAACGTTAATTTCTCTCCAAAAGCGATGCTTCTGCGTGGCCCACTAGGGGGCCTCACCATTCAAAGGGGCTAAAATTACTTAAAGGGGTGCTATTATGCTTTTTCACTTTTTCAACTTTAGTTAGTCTGCAATGTTGCTGTTTGAGCATAAAAAAGATCTGCAAAGTTACAAAGCTCAAAGTCCAATTCAAAAGGAGATATTTTATTTAACAGAAATCACTTTTCAAAAACTACAACGAACGACTCGTTTGGACTACAACGCATATTTTCCGTCGAACAACCTAGTATGAGAGCCTGTTCTAGTACACCCCCAAAACAAAATCAAGACTTTGTAAAAGAGCATAATAGGACCCCTTTAAAGGGATAGTTCACCCCATAAATGAAAAATACAGAGAAGGGTGTTCCTGCACAACTGGACCGCAGTTCTAGGACCCTATTCTTTTGTAACAGCGCCACCTACCGAATTGGATAATATAGCGGAGGCTGCAGTTTCAGGACCGCATTTCTAGGACCCTGGTGTCAGATATTTAAAGGTTTGTAGAGAGGCAAGACACAAGACTCAATAATGGTTCAATGCATATTTATATACTATATATACACTCATTTTTGCAATAACACATAATACAACATCATAAAAAAAGACCATTTTCCATCAGTTGCTGCATGGACAGAAAGGCTGTAGGCTTCAACTCCTGAGAGAGATTAAAAGAGAGAGAGAGAGAGAGAGAGAGAGAGAGAGAGGGAGGGGGGGGGAGAAAT